CTGTGTCAAAGCCTTACAGAAGTAGTCTTCTTTGTATGTTTTTAAACAAGGGGAAAAAAGACAGGCCGTAAGTTTTCAAGTGTGCTCATGTTCTTTAAACTATTCTTTTTAAAATTGCCCTCACATAGGTTCAGTAGTTATTACAATCACTTGTGGTCAAAGGCAGGAAAAAATCACATTCATAGCTGACTTTGGCCTCTCTTGTCAACAGCCTACAGCCTGAGATGCAAAACCTGTAGTCAATCAAGTGATTGTGTAATAGTCTTGCAGAAGGCCCATTATTCCTAAAGGAACAAACTTCTTTGTCACCAAGGACCAGGTCTAAAGTTTGTACCTTCTTTGCCTAATTCCTTTCCTCTTGTTTCTGGTCTTGTTTAAGAATATCAGCTTAAAATATGGAAATGGGTAGACATATTATATCTGAGAGTATGCTAGAGTAGAGGTAGTGGTACAAACTCAAATGATAACATGCACGTTCTAAGCAAAGCCCCTGACTCCTGTTGATTCAGTGTAAAACCCTCAAAACTATTTCATTGGTATTAATCCGTTTGCCAGTTTACATGCAGCAGACCTCATAATTACTTTTACCTGTTGAAAGACATCAGTTTAATAGCTCCAGGAAAAGAGACACTCAGTTTTTGTTATCTGTCCTATAGAAACATGTGCCACTTTGGTGTGAGTTATAAATGGATTTTCTTCTAGGGTTTCAAGACCAGTTTGTGGTGTTTCTGTTAATTAGAACAAGGTATAGGGAGTCTGTTTGTAGTGTAAGGTTGGATTCACCTTTTTGTGTACTTTTTGTATTAAAACAGCAAACCCTTATTAGCTTGTAATAGTCCTCAATATTTACTAAGTCAATTTGATAGATTGAAAGTGAAATGCTCTGTAATTTGCTGCAAATTGTCCTGATGCAAGGTCAGACTTAAATTACTGCTGTTTTTAATACTGATTTTTATATTCCACATGCAGCATTTCCACCGTTCTATAAGAAACCAAATCAGTTCTCTGAATTCCCATCCTTATTGCCTTAAACAACAATGCTGAACTTAGTAATTTTATATATTCACAGAAAGGATCAAATACAGCAGAGATTTCCTTCTGAAACTTTCAAGTGTTTCTCTCTCTCAGAAGAAGCCAGAGTTTCTTCCTGATCATCCAATTGTACTTGAAAAGCCAGTAAGTGCATTTTTCGTATTAAATGAAGTTATAAAAACAGTCATGGAGGTTTTGACAACCCATTTGATAGAAAACATTTTTCTTCAGACTAGCCTGCCAAATTCATAAAACCTTCAAAAGACAGATTGTGCAGTTCAGCTCTGTTACTTTTGTACACAACTCCCCCAGTCGGTATTTGGCGTCTTACCATGGCAAGTACCATACAAAGGAAAAGGTTTTTTTCTCTGTTTTCAGGAAAAAGATCAGGTATGTTTCCAAATTAAAGTCAGTATGGAATCATATTAAAGCTTTCTACTATGAAATCACAGTACATAGATGGAATTCACATAGAATACCAAAGCTCTGTCTTTTCAAAATGGAGAACAATCTTGATAAATTTCTGGCTTGGTGAAAGTCTGATTCCAGTGTTTAAGTTGTCCATGCATCAGTGTCCACTACAAAATTATTAATGAGCTTAATGCAGTTTGTGTTATCATTATCTCTGGTCTGTGTTGTTGGGGAGAAATGAATAGAAATGAATGTGAAGGATATCCAGGAGTGTCACCTGAACCTTTGAGATGAAATAATACTCAAATACTTCATATGCTAAGAGAAAAAAATCTAATGGTTCCCTTTCCACACACCAAGTGTGGGAAAACGTTCTTGGGTATAAACATTATAATATCAAATCAGGCTACGTACTAGGCTGCTTATGAAGCCATCGGGTGTAGTTCTTCTAGAAATAGGAGTCCTATCCTGGAGAAGTATGTCCAGATGACTACTGTGTTGCCCACAATTTGAGTCAGTTTTAAACTTTTAAAATTCCTATTCTTTGGGGAAAAAAAAAATTAAACTAATATATGACAGTGATCGGCCTTCCCTGTTCGTACTTTTTACATCTTTTGTTTTATTTGTCCTCAAGATGAAAGCTTTACTTGTTTGAAAACCTGCCTGCAGATAGGGAAGTTTCATCTCTCGAATTTCTTAACTTTTCCCCCTTCTTCCTGTTGCTTGAGTTTCTAAGGGGGGCAAATTTTGATAATATATACGCTTTCACATGGTCGTGTTCATAGGTAAAGGAGGACCCCTGCAGAAGTGGAATCAGTGGACAAATGGACTCTAAAATTGCTCATGACATGGCTAAATTGCAAATAATTTGGGTAGAGGGAAATAAGGATAGTAAAAACTGGTGCAAACCAAGATGGGTTGCATGTGTGTTAAGAGATTGTTTTGGGGCTGGGGGATCTGTGTCTGTAGGATGATGTCATAAGTGTATCCAGTTATATATAGTCTTGTCTTTAGAAATAAGAGTATCTCACTGTTTGTGAGGGCTGCTCTTAAAGTCTTTTCTCTGCTTTGCGTTAGTCCTGTGTATGTAAGCCCCCACCTGCATGTGCTAGTTTATCATACAGATAAAAAAGCAGTGAGTTTTCTGATTCTAGTCCCCCCTGCAAAAGGGGGTGGGTAAATTGCAAACCCTTATTAGTCAGGATGTTGTGTTAGAATAACATAAAATGTATCACTTAGCTGTCATTATTGGTATCTTAAGTACAAAGTATGGATGGTTGAGTAGGAAGCTAAAGGAAAAAAAATCCCGTTCTCATTAAAAGAAAGCAAAAGCTGGTGAATTTGCTGTGTGATCTTGGAGACTGTTGAAAAGGGTATTGCAAGTATACTGGTCTCATTAGTATATAAAGGTGATATTATTAGCTTGCCAGTCATACCTCAGAAGTTAGTTCCACATTATAAGTATGAAACTTGGTCAGTGATAGTCTGTATTTTTTTTTTCTGAATTGACTAGAATAAATGTTTTGCTGTTAATATAGGATAAAACTATCCACTGTTGTATTCTAGTGTTGAATTTCAGTGTAGACATTGAATTTTTAGTAATTTGGGAGTCTGTTTGGAGGCATATTAACATGAATTAAACATATAAGTTCTTTGGATGTGGACTGTCTTACGATGTATTTTGCATGTCTGCATGGGTATACCAGCTTGCTTTTCACTAAGCAGTTTCCTTATCGCCAAGGAAGAGGAAAAAATTACCATTGTTTCCAAGAACACTGTAAGAGCTCAGTTGAAGTAGATCAACCTTGTTAGAAATTCCATTGCCATATACTGAAATGAAAGTTTTATTTGTGGGACACCTGAACCCAACCCAGCTAGTCACTTTCTATAAAAAGATTGAAGCACTTGGAGATGTGAAGTTTTGCTGTATGGGAATCCAAATATAAGAATCTGTGAATAGAATAGAAGCTGAATCTTACTCAGGAACACCTTAGACTTGACTTGGCCTGTCAACTAATGGATTTTACTTTCAGGTCTCATATATTAACGTGAAAAGATACATGTTGAATTTCAAGAATGAAGAGTGGTAAAACACATTTCAAAATTAGAAGGAAAAAAAAACCAATAACTACAAACATTTTATAGGACAAAGACCTGCATTATTTCCTTTTCTGAGTTAGATGCATCTCTTGGAAAACATTACTAGTGAGACTTTCATGAAATACAAGACTTATTAGTCAACATGAAAATAGGAGAGGCCTCTGTTGAGAATGAGGAGCTCGTTGGTGTATAGCTCCTCTTAAAACAGTGACACTGAATATGCAATTTTTCTATCCAGGAGAGGGTTTATCTCAAATGAGAATAGTCTGAGCCCAATATCTCATAAAAGGATTGAGCCTGTTATGGGTCTTTCTTAATACTTCTTATAAGATGTAGATTGGAGGAAAAGCATTTGATAATTCTTGACCATGTAATCTGAGAAGGCACCTGGAATCAAAGAAAAAGTGAAGATAAATTCAGAACTAATCTATCCATAAAAGGCAGTGATTTCAGGCTCCTTCTGGTGCATGACACCAGTCTGTCATATTCAATTGCCTGCTTTGTGTGACACCTTGCTTATTGAGATTGGCTGTCAGACTTTGAGCATTCTGCACTGAAGTAGAGAACAAGTTGATTAATAGTAGAAGGCCTATAGGACAAGTACAAACAGCTTTAGTTTTGATGCAAACAGAGTTTTCCAGGTGCTGTTTCTTTCTAATCTGTTCAGTGATGAGACAGAATTATAATCTGCAGCCTTGTTTTCGATTTGGGGTTTTGGGGGGTTTTTTTGCTTGCTTGTTTGTTTTTTGCATGTTTTTGGTAGCTTTTAATGGATTTCCCAGAATCATTTAGTTTGGAAGCGACCTCTTGAGATCACCTAGCCAAACCCCCCTGCTCATGCAGAGTCAGCTAGAGCAGATTGCCCAGGATCATGTCCAGTCAGGTTTTGCGTATCTCCACAGGCAGAGACTTTGCAACCTCTCTGTGGAGAGATTGCACAACTTGTTGCAGTGCAACAAGTCATCTAAAGACAGTACTCTTTTGGTAGAGCAGTACCAGAAATGATAGTATTGTGTTTGTATCCTGATGATGCCATTTTTCAGGACTTGTTTTCAGTGGAGCGTGCAAAACCACTTAATTTACTTACACTGAACAGGAAGTAGTGTTCCATTATCCATCCTCTTTCCTCTGCGCTTTAATTGCCTTCACTCAGCAGATTCTGTAGTTACATGGGAAAATTCCAGTGTGTCGACTGATCCCATGTTATCTACTTTTCTGCATAGAAACCAGAGGGATCGATGAAATGTATGTGTAAGTTAAATGAATGATGCTTAAAAGGGGCAGAGGGTGGCCTCCAGATAAATTTCTAATGAGGAGCAGACAATCCTGCAACATGTCAGTGAGCTTGTATTTAGGAGCAGGTGGTTGTCAACAATTTGCTGCTGAATTGAGTATTCAGGCGGTTCTTCTTGCCCGTCTTAAAGACTTCCCTAGTTCTGAATTTTTGAAGTCACTGCTGAATTATATGCCCATCTATGAGTGAAAGCTGTATTTTCACATGGAGAAAGCTTCCTAGAGTGACTTGTACAAGGGAGATGCTCTTGTTACAGTTAGTGGGCTGTGGGTTGCATTTGTCCCTAAAGACATTGGGGTTTTTTGACATGTGGGGGATCAGGCCTCCCTATACATAGCTCAGCATTTGAACTGAACTGGTGTTACTGTGTTGACAAAATCTGCCAGGAAGATTTCAGATTAAGTCTCTATGATTAATGAAAGTAGAACTGTTTGCATTAATCAAAAAAATACCAAATTGTTACATGTACATGGGGTAAAAAAGGGTTATAAGCAGACCCATGAAAACTTGGTTTAAATGACGTCTTATAACAGAAGTAATTTGAGGGTTTGTTTGTCTTACAGGAAAAGAGCAACCCTTGTATTGACATATGCAAGAAGTGACAGGTTGTTTGGAAGATGAGAAATCCATCAATGAAGGAGCTACGTATGATGTAAATCTTTAAGATTTTTGAACATACGTGGGTGCCTACAGATGAAGTAGGACCCTATGAAACTTATGGAAATGCCTGTTTCTTCCTGTAATTGCCTGAATGCTTTAAAAGTCAAACCTTTAATTTGCAATGCCTGAGATAGTAATACAGTTACAGTGAAAATAAATAATTTTACATTGCACCGTGACAGAATTTTGTCCTTGAATTGTCCGTGTTATGTAGCCATGTATTTTGTCTGACCATAAATTCTAAACCAATACTTGACTGGGGCTTTTTGCTTGCTCCCACCTCCTTTCCTTAGCAGTAGTAATGCAGTAACAAATACTGTCTGTGTCAAATCTCGGATGTCTTAGGGTATGTACTCCTCTAGCTTAATTTTTTTTTTTCCTCAAAACTTGAATTGCTTGCTTTCTTCATTTGAAATCTCTATCTTGACACAAGAGATTCCTTAATGTTTTGTGGATACATACTTCTTTCAAGGTACAAAGTCTCTTGTTACTAACAGTTTCACTGAAATGAGAAATCTTCTCTCATCATGGATCAGAAGAAGAGAACTGTCTACGCATTGCATTCCTTGAAGTTCTTTGTAAATAGTTGTCCGGTGTTTTTGACTTTGAAATGTGGAAGTAATGGGCAAAATTGAGGAACAAGACAGAATTTAACCACGTCTTATATGGGTAAATGGGTGTACCAATACATAGTTAATTCTATAACTTTTTTCTTAAATTAGAATACTATTTAATAGTGAAGTGGAAAGCAGTAGTTTGAGTATTTTCTGAAAGTATCCTTCACTCCACAAGCATGAAGAGTAGTTATTTTGTATGAATATAATTACCTTCAAAACCTGTATTCAGACCTCCAATAACGTCATTTGGGCACTGAAGGCAGTTTTTTAACCTCTGTCACAAATGATAATGGAAGCTAAATGAGAATGTGTTGAATGGTAATCACAATAGTGCAGAAAACTTTCAAGTTGCATTTGATAGACACTAGATTTCTTTCCCTGGTATGTGTTGGAAGGCAATTTCTGTGTGTAGCTCTCAAAACTCTTAAGTGAAACTTCTCAAACTTGTTCTTGTGTATGATTCATCAAAGTGTTTGTTTACTAGTAAATATACAAAGGAGAATGACCTACTAGAACTTCCCCCCCTCCAGCACCTAATTGACTTGAGGTTCTAAAGCAGGTTATTTTAAGAATAATTATAGTACAGTTTACCCAGTGAAAAGGAAGAATGTCATAAACCTCAGTGTAGCGTGTCAGTTTTCACTTAAGGATTTACCCTGCAGCAGTGTCACATGTCACTGTATTTCCTTTGTTGGCAGATCAGTAGTGACAAAAGAAAACATGCTGTACACTAGACTGACATCTTGGCATAGGAAAAAAGGCAGCCACATCTTCAGGAATATGAGTAGTTTTACTTTGCTAAAGACAAGAAACCATTAAACTTTCACTGTCATTTGTGAGTGTAATGTGGCTATTTGGGTGCCTTTTTAAGAATGAACAGATCTGTAATTGGATCATGTCAATATGGGAAAGCTTTGGACTTCAGTATTAGAAGCATTCACTTTTGCTGAGTTACTGTAAGAAGATTTAAAGGTGAAATTTGTCTCTAACACAGGCACCTGAATTCAGGTGTGTGGGCATCACTTTCTGACATCCACATTTGCTTAGAGAACCTAAGCTCCCTTGACTTTATTGGCAAAGGGTTTGATTCAGTTGCCTAACGGTGGGCATCTGGTGTCATCTGAGACATGTAGGATATCTGAAGCAGCTGCATGGGGCTGGCATAAACGACACACAACCTCTAGGTAACTCATGTCCTTCTCAGCTGGGAGCTGGAAACCAGCTGGGATACCCTACAGCATCTCACATGTACTAGATGCCTTTGCTTAGGCAACTAATTTTGCCTCAGAACCCCACTGATACAATAGGAGCCAAGATGCCTTGGTCCCGTGCAGGTACCAAAATGCAACACCTTTCTTAATCTTGAGCTCAATCCTGGTCGTAGCTTCTGGAATATGGAACCTTACTGCAATGAAGATTGCTCGTTTGTAGTCTAAATTCCCCACGTTTAATTACATATGGTTGAGTTGAAATAAAAATAGATAAATCCTACAGTTAAGAAGATATTTTATTGAAAATGATTTTTAAGTTACTTTTTGGGTACTCTTTGTAACTTTGGACTGCTAGATGAGTGGAGAGAGTGGTCATTCAGCGTGCAGAGCTTGTCAACCTGTCACGGAGGTGTGAGGTTACAATAGTCGCTTGCCTTTCATTCTTAGGCTGGAGGGTACACCTACTGCTCAGATGCAAGGGACAACAGCACGTCTTCTTAGGGAAGAAAGTATTTCTACTTCCAGGTTTACGGCTATTTATGCTCTGACTTTTTAGTGAGCTGCCAGTGATCTAACTAAAATGTTTTCTGAGTGTTCAGGACTTAGGGTTCAAAGCAAATTGGTTGTGAAGTGTTAAGTCTGTGGATCCAAAGCGGCTTGACAGACAGGCAGATGTGGTTCCTCTTGCGAGGATAGGGGCTAGAGGCTGTGAAGAGAAAATGGTGCTGCCTTGTCTTGTCGTGGGCAGAAAATTCCCTGTATGAGTAAAGTTCTGTATTAACACAAAAAGTTGTCCCCTATGTTTATTTTCCTAATTAATGACTTACAGCTTCTATGAAAATGTGTGTTCATGTTCGTACGTGTTTCTTCTGTAAAAGGAGAAAACTAGCATTAAGTAACAATTGTTTATTAACATAAGACTAGAACTTTTCACAAATACTTAGTTGTACCAATCAAGATGCACTTTTCTGTGACAGTTTGGACTGAATATACACAATAAACAGTTTAGCATAATTGCCTTATTTCAGCTTTTAGAATGCATCATTTCACTGAACTAGTCACAAGAAGAGAAGGTAATAAATGTGTGGTTTTCCATATTTTAAAATGGAAAAGATGACATCCATAATAGCGGAACAGTATCACATCATAAATTCATAACCCAGCACACGTGTACACTGCTAGATGAATGTTATTGTAGCGAAAACCACTGCAACTTTAACGTTACTTGGAACCACAGCTTCTAGTTGTTATTGAGGACCCACCACGATGCTGAAAGAGAGGAGAATTTATTTATTTGTTTGTTAACATAAACAGTATTTCTACCTTTGGTAGAAATCCTAAATAAAATATCTGTAAGGTATATAAAGAAATGCAGCTAATACTACTTCATTTGAAAGCTGCATACTTTCAAGGACAAAACCTCTCCAGGCAGGGGAAGAATACTTAAAATACTAGGAGAGCTGAGTATAACTGGCGGTGTGTGGGGGGGTGGCTTTAGCGCAAGAATTGATATCTCTTTTTGATAACATCCAAAGAAGCATTAACGTGTCATAGGTGTGGTTGCACAGAATTAAGCGCCCAGATCCCAGAGAGCAAAACCCTCCCTCCTGTTCTGCTGCATGTGTCAGTATTTTAGTGAATCACTGTGTCCCCTGGGTGGTTGTGCTGCCTTTAATGACTTTCTTTCCTGGTGACATCATTCAAACCTGGTGCTGTTCTTTTTACACAACTCTAGGAATGAAGAGCGTTTTGCCCCACAAGTAAGAGAATTGATGGACTTGTAAAATGTTATTCCCGAAAAAGAAGATCTGTAGTCACCAGATTATAGACAGGGCTGGAGCGAAACTCATTTCTACTTCTTCCCCACAGTCCCCTTTGCCCTTTTGAAATTGAACTTTATGCAGAGAGGAACCACAAGATTTATGGAGAGAGACAGGAAGGAAGGAAAGGAATCGTGACTGTATCTGAGATGCCAAGTCCCCTTAGCGGGGGGGTGTTGTAGGCTCAGTAGGTTTTGCACTACACAGTTTGGGGATTAAATTCATTAACACAACTTGTTTCTGTGAATGTGTCCATAAATCCTTTGATTTATGGCATTTTTCTGAAAGCTGTTATTCTTGGAGAAGAACGTTGAGATGATACTTAAGAATCCTACCTGAAATTGGGCTATGAAAGCCTAGTAGTCTCCGACGCATCAATGGATTAATGAATTTTGGCCAAAAAAATGCCGATTTAACAGTTTATTTCATGGATTACAGTGTCATAAGCGTTCAGTGGTTTTCCCCTAGCTTTCATTTCCTTCACCAAAAGGTTCTCCAGTGTTCTCAAGTCCAGATCTTACGTAAAGATGAGGCATTCACTGAAGATGAACTGGGTGATCCATGCCACCCTGGCAGATTGGCCTGAAGCAACTGGGTCGGCTAACAGGTCTGCCGGTGATTATAATAGGTTGCGGTTCCTGTTAACTGATGGTAAATGAATTTGCTTTGGGATCACATTGGATCCAACAGTCATGAAATCCCGTGTCTTCCTGAATCATTCTTAGCCAGGTAAATGTATCCTTATTAATTCTAATTAATCAGCTGAGTGAAGACTCTTGGGTTGTAATCTTTGAATCAGATTCAGTTTACAGTTTAGAATTGTTTCAGTTCTTAAGTTAACCAGATGCGTAAAAAAACTGTAGATGTGTCTGGGCTAGGGTAAATTAGTTTTTAAAACAGAGCCGATCTATGTGCTAGTTGCAGACAGGTCGTTTTTTTTCCTGATTTTACAGTGGTATCACTTTATGGTGTCGAAACTTCTTTCATGAAGTATACTGGTAGCATTGCAGCCGTCGTTTTTTACTTCACGAACATTTTCTGTCTTTCCAACGCTAGCATGATTTGTGTAGATCAAATATGGGAAGTACTTTCCATGAAACAAAAGTTCAAATGTCTGCACAGATTTCTAAATAATAGATAATCTATGTAATTGTAAAAATAACTGTGAATGCAGTACTTCCCATTGCCCCCCCAGCAAGGAGTGCACAGTGAGAAATGCTGTTTCTATGGCAACTGTCTGCCAGGACAGAGTGCTGCAGACTGAAATCCTTCTTAGCAGGCAGAGCCGATGCTT